AATGTTTTATATTATTATTGCCAGCATAATTAATATCTTATTCAATGTATGCTTTTGAAGATTGTTTTCTTTAAATTCACAATCATATTTTTGACACTTGAGGAACTTAAATAATATCACAATTCATTCACACATTCTTTTGTTGATTGACATTTAAATACATATACCTTTGTCTTTTCTTCTTTTCTTTTTTTCTTTTTTAAAGGTTTTGGTGCTGAGAATCAAACCCAAGGTCTCCTGTTTGTTAGGCAAGTATTACACCACTGAGCTAAATCCTTAGCCCCTAAATACACACACTTTTAACTTTACAAAGTATTGCCAAATTGCTCTCCTAAATAGGTAGACAAGTTTAAACACTCAGCTAGGGTGTATAACAGCTTCATTTCCCCTACGTCTTTACAAATTACAATTTGTATTGTCAAACTTCCTTTTTCGTGTGGAGCCAATTGGAGACTTTTTTCTTCTGTGCTGGGGAAGGGACCCAGGGGCTCATGCAGGGTAGGCAAGTCTTCTACCACTGAGCTACGCCTCCAGCCCGGAGTGTCATCATTTTAATTGCATATAAATTTAGTAAGGTTGAGCTTATTTTAATATGTGTATTAGCCAGATAAGTTTCTTTTTTCTATGAATTATCTGTTTGTATATTCAAATTTTTAGAAAATTACACATTTCCACTGAATTATCTTTTCTTTTTGATTGGTAGTGGTTTGAAAAATATATAAATATTGGAAACCAGTCTTTTTTCAACTATATGTATCATCTCTTAGGCAAACTTTATTTTCTTTTCTTTGTACACATGCTTTTTAATATCAACATGGCAAATATGTCATTATTTTTCTTTATGGTTTGTGTATTTTTGTCTTGTTTGTGAAAAAATTTTGTATCAGGATGTCATAAAGTTATTTTCCTCAAATATTTGTAAGTTTTTCTTTTTATGTGTATTTCCTTACTCTTTTTGGAATCTACTGTGCATATGATGTAAAATAATGTTTAAATAGAAAGTCAGTTGTCCTTGCACAAGCTTTTCTTTTCTTTTTTTTTGAGACAGGGTTTCAGTATGTGGTTCAGGCTGGCTTTAGACTATCTTTGTAACCCAGGCTAGCCTCGAATTCACAGTGTTCTCCTGCCTCAGCCTCGTGAGTGCTGGGATTATAGCCAGGTGCCACACCACACCTGGTCCTAGCACAAGTTTTTAAACATTCTTTTTTCAAGGATTTGTCATGTCAGCATGTCATATCCCAAGTTCCATTTGTACAGGTGTTTGTTTCTGGCCTTTTAATTCTATTCAATAGGTCCTTTTTTCATCTGTATGCCATTGCTACAAAAAGTGATGAAAATATATAGTGAATATTTAATTTAAAAAAGTATTGAAGTAAAAGACCCACTCCCATGGTCCCCCTCGAATTACTCCCCTTTGCTTTTTTTGTGTGTGTGTTTTTGAGACAGGGTCTCACTCTGCAGTTCAGGCTGGTCTTGAACTCACTTTGTAGCCTAGGCTAGTCTCAAACTCACAAGGATTCTCATGCTTCAGCCTCCCAAGTGCTGGGATTACAGGCGTGCGCCATCACACCTGGCCTCCCCTTTGCTTTGAAGACGCTTTATCCCATTGTTCTTGCCACTTTCTGCAGCAGTTCTGGTAAAGATACTCTTTCATGAGTATCTTTACAAGTAGTTGTGAAAAATATGGTAAATGCTGCTGCTGAGTGCCACCCAACAGAAAGGCACGCTCGTAAAAACATTATGGTGTGTCCTCCCCACTTTATTCACTGGGTCCAGCACTGTGTAATTTCTGGGATTTCCCCAAAGTCAAAATGACCATAACAGGCAAACATTTTGAATGAATTCAGGACATTGAGGCGGTCAGGACAATGCAACCAAAGATACTCACCAAAGAGGACTTCCAGAATTGCTTCAGAAAGTGACAAGCATGATGGAATAAGCGTGTTGAAAGTGAGCAGGAGAATTTTAAGGGGGATTAATGGTAGCATGTCTTTTACTGTAATAAAATTTAAACATTCTCTTTAGTTTTTGATCACATCTGAGCACAGCTTTACAAATGTTTCCTTTTTGGTAGCGAAAATATTCTTTCTTAGTCTCCATTAGATTGTGTTAGTTCTTCTCAGCCCTTTGCCCTCTTCCATTAGATTTAGGAACAGCTTTTCAGGTTAAAGGGTAGAAAAATCCCATGAAAAAGAAACGGTAGGGCAAGGCAAGGGAGATCGAGGGTGCAAGAGGCAAGCTATAGTATTAAGGAGTGCGGTGGTGGTAGGGGTCATAGAGAAGTAAGATTTGAGCAAGGACTTGTAGGAGGTAAACAAATTTGCCAGAGCTCAGGAGAAAAGACTTCCAGGCAGAAAGAACAGGTAGTGCCAAGACTCTGAGGCAAATGTGTTTGAGGAAGAGAAAGGACTCAAGTGGGACAAACAGAATGAACAAGGGGAAGTCCCAAGATTGAGCTCAGAATGCTCACAGTAAGCCATTGTGGGGATGTTGACTTTTGTTGTGTCATTGCAGGGTTTTGAATAGTGTCGTAATATGATTTGATTTAAGTTTAAAAAGAATCATTCTTACACACTGAGAAATGAGGCTAGGAAGGCAGTAGGGGATGGAGGTATAATAATGGGGCTAGTGCAGTAATCCAGGTGAAGGATATGGTAAACAAATATAGTAACAGTACCATATAAAAAATGGCTGCATTCTGGATATATTTTATAGGTAAAGTCAACAGATTTTCTCATGCATTTGTTGTTAGGTGTTAAAAACAAGAGGAGTCAAGGGTAACTCCAAGGATTTTGACATTAGCAACTAGGATAAAGAGGTGCTAGTCACTGGTTTTGGGAAGACTGTGGGAGGAGCTGTTCCAGATAAACATGAACTCATGGTTTGGGGCATATTAAGTTTGAGATGTCTATTACACAGCTAGGAGGAAGTGAGTCTGGAATCGGGTGGAGGGAACGTTGAGGATGGGGATGTAATTTTGAGAATAATCCGTATATATTTGGTATGTAATGTGTAATCAGACACATTCATCTAGTGAGTGAATATAAAGAAAAGTGTCCAAAGACTAAGTCGAAGTATGCACAAAGAGCCATTTTGGAAGCCGGGCATGGTGGCGCACACCTGTAATCCCAGCACTTGGGAGGCTGAGGCATGAAAATACCTTGTGAGTTTGAGACCAGCCTGGGCTACAAAGTGAGCGCAAGGCCAGTTTGAGCTGCATAGTAAGGCCCTGTCTCAAAAAGACACACACACACACACACACAGAGAACATTTTTGGAATGTTCTAAGATAGATAGTGGTATAGTTGTGTGACTGTAAATACACTAAAAGTCATTGATTTATAAATTAAAACAAGTAGTGTTTATTGTATGTAAATTATACCTCAGTTTAATAGGCTCAGCTATTTTTTTTTTTTTTTTTTGGGTTTTCTCCGGTACCAGGAACCGAACTCACGACCTTGCGCTTGTCAGGCAAGCGCTTTTGCCGCTGAGCTAAATCCCCAGCCCCTAGGCTCAGCTATTTTTAAAAAGTATAAAAAAGGATTCAAAGAGTTGAGGATAGCTAGCAGAGGATGTTTGAGAAGGAATGGCCAGTGATAGGGAAGTAAAACCAGAGACCATAGAGTCCTGGCAAACAGTTCAGTATAATTCTCCTGCTTTTTGTTTGTCCTTTTTTATGTGTTTCCCAGCTCAAAGCTGATGGGAGAAATTAAAATTGTATTACTTGCATTTGTGGAATATGTTTGTAACGTTAACATCCTTATTCTGCTGGTTTGTTTTGGAGCTAGCAAATAACTTAAGTTTTGCTACATAGAATTCTTTCTGACTAAAACAACTGATGAATATTGGAGGAAAAAGCAAAGAGAAAGGGGAAAGGATGACCTTGTGTGGAAGTATTTTGCTAAGATGAGCTCTGTAGGAGAGAATGGAGTCACCTGTGTGTCTGTTTACTCTGGCGCACACCCAGTGGTGGTTGTGGCTGTCTTCCTAAGCAGAGAAGCAAGGATTGCAACAGTTTATGAAGGCATTGAACAAGTGTAGCACATCCTGTGGCAATGGCTTTTTGAAACTTTTATAGAGCGGCCTAAGACATGTAACTTATGCTCTGTGACCTTAGAAATTGTTAGAGTAACTGCTACTAGTAGATGTCTATCTTTTAATATAAAGGCTCTAGTAGCGTTAAGCAAAGCAGCACAGGGTTTGAGTCATTGCTTCATAGCAGCCTTCACTTAAAAGGGTTTAGTGTATTGCAAAATAAATTAAGTCACTTCTTGGAGGTGTGTTTAGTAAGGCTGGATTAAAGAGAAGGAAATACGGTTCTCAGGATCCGAAGAATAACTTGTCAGCAAGTGTGTATGTTAATTGTTCCTCTTTGCTTCATGCTGAGGAATTATGTAAAAATTTGAAGCCCAAGTAGTGAAAATTAAAAATGAATTAAGAATATTGAAACACATAATTTAAAAAATGAGGGAGCAAATGTATCCTAGGCGGCAAAATATGTAGCAAATTCATGGCAACTTCCTGTATCTTCTATTAGGTAATGTGAATCAGTGTGGTCTTTTTTTTTTATTTTAGAGAGAGTAGTAGAAGAAAAAAAAGAACAATAGCAACATACCAACATCACAAACATAAACAAAACAAACCAAGCGCATTAAAAGTGATATAGTGTTTCAAAACCAAATGATAGGAATTAACAGTTGTTGTTATATTACATGTTGTTATCTTCAACTACATTGCTCCGATTACCAGATGTAAGAATGGAAGATTGTTCAAACCATTAAAGAGAATAAAAAATAATTATTAGATAAAACATTAGAGATAATACAGTTTCACTAGACAAGACAGTAGGAATTCACCAATGGTTGTTCCATTGCATATTGTTGTCTTCAAATCAGTTGCTCAGATTACAAGACACAAGCATGCAAAATTGGTCAGAATACAAAAAATTTTAAGCTTTAACCGTTCTTTTCTTTTCTTTTTTTTTGGGTTTTTTTTTTCCAGTACTGGGAACCGAACTCACGACCTTGCGCTTGCCAGGTAGGTGCTGTGCCGATGAGCTGAATCCCCAGCCCCTAACTGTTCCTTTCAATATACCATCAGACATCAGCAGTACAGTTATCCCAGCTATTCTTCTATATACATCTCTCTCTCTATATATATACATATTTTTGCCTTCTTTCTTTCTTCTTCTTTCCCTCATCCCAGTTGTTCCTTCCTTTGAGCAATTTCTTTCTCTCATGTATCATCTATTGTGCATTTTGAGTACATTTACTCTTTCAGATTCCTACACCAGGCAGACAATATGATGTGGGTCCAATTTCTTTCACTTATGAGTATGGTCTCTAGTTAAATCCATTTACCTCCCAAAGCCTTAAGTTTATCTTTTTTGATAGCTGAGTAATACTCCATTGTATAAAAATACCACATCTTTTTATCCATTCCTCAGTGGATGGGCATTTGGGGTGTTTCCAAGATTTAGCTATAACAAATTATGCTGCTATAAACATGGGTGCACGTAAATCACTTTGGTATGATGTCTTTAATTCTTCTGGGAAAATACCCAGAAGGGGAATAGCTGGGTTAAGTGGGACTTCCAATCCTAGTTTTGTGAGGAATCTCCAAACTGCTTTCCACAGTGGTCTCACCAATCTACACTCCCACCAGCAGTGGAGAAGGGTTCTCTTCTCCCCACATCCTCTCCAGCATTTGTTATTGGTTGATTTCTTGATGATAGCCATTCTTACTGGGGTGAGATGGAATCTCAGTGTTGTTTTAATTTGAATTTCTTGAATGATTAATGATGTTGAACATTTTTCCATGTATTTATTCACCATTAGTATTTCTTTATCTGAGAAGTGTGTATTTATTTCAGATGTCCATTTTTGGATTGGGTCTTTGAATTTAGGGGGCCTGATTTTTTAAAATTCTTTGTATGTTCTAGATAGAAGTCCTTTGTTTGAGGGGCAGTTGGTTAAAATTTTTTCCCCCAATTTGTGGGTTTTCTTTTTATTGTATTGGTGATTTCCAGTGTGGTCTTGAGGGTGACCTAAGCGAGTTGAAGGTCTAAAAGGGATCAAATACTTGTATTTGGGTAGGTTGGTGTCTGGAACATAATTCATTTTAGTTGCTACATTAGTTGGAAAAACAGTATTTGTTTTAGTACATCTCACATAAGAAGTTCCAAACTGTCAATTTATGTGGGTCATTTGGTTAGGTGAAACATTTATTGGCTAATCAACAAACCACAGGAACGCGTAAACATCCACTTGAATATATCGCTGCTGTATTTTATCTGGTGACGAAGACATCACAAGTCACAGCTTTGAAGAGGATTTGACATCAAGGAGCGGTTGGAGATCTGATCTACCGGCCTTTGAGGCAGGATCCATGTGGAAAGGAAGTCAGCAGGAAGAACTAGAAGGACTTAACTGGCTGGAAGACGTCTCTGGTAAGATGACAGTTTGTAGAGTGGGTTCCTTTTGAATCATGGTGATTTCTTTCTGCTCCTGGAGCTGTGGGAGGGACCCTTGCAGAGAGACCATGCAGGGACCAGCTGAGAGACCTGGACGCTATGTTTCCTGTGGGAATAGTCCTTCCAGTGGCACTGTACTTAAAAGTGGATTTCTCTTCTGTGGAGGCTGCACCTGACCACCTGTGGGTCACCTGAGGCAGTCAATGGGGAGTGGGGTGTGGGCTAGTGGATGGGGGAGATGTTCACTTATCTATCTACTTCAAAGGTTTCATTGAGTACCATCCATGTGCTGAGAATGGCAGTACTGGTAAGGAAGAAAACCTAGACATGGGTCCTATCCTCATTAGCTTTGGAAACTCCTGTATACCTAGAGCCTGTGCATGGGATTTGGTGATGGAGCAGAACGGGATGGGTTGTGAGGGAGGGAGCCCATGGGCGAGGTGAGCCAGTGGAAAAAGAGGGAACAGAAGGGGCATAGGAAGGGACTGGGGATTTAGCTCAGCGGCACAGCACCTGCCTGGCAAGCACAAGGTCGTGAGTTCGATTCCCGGTACCGGAGAAAAACAAAACAAAAAACCAAAACACACACACACACACACACACACACACACAAAGAAGGGGCACAGGAAATAGCTGTATTCGTGACTGCCTTACTTTCTGTTCCTCATTTAATTCTGCATCTTTTCACTTTTGAAGTAAGCTTCTAAGACTTCCTTAACATTGTCTTTCACTTTAATCCTTACTCCTCCCTTTTTAAGAGCTTTCTTCCAGATTTTAAGGGACTATTTCTATTTATACTTTAACGATCAGTTTTAAGGCCATGCGTCTCCACGACTGTTACTATTATGTCCTCAGCACATGCTAGAAAGTGGGACATTTTCTTCTTTGTTTTCAGATACTGTATTGCCTCTTTCATCTATGCTTTACATCTATATTTGGCTTTTCTTTTACGTTTCATCACTTGCCACAATTTATTTGATACCTCAGGCCATTCAGTACTTTCACTACTAATCTTCCTTTGGTTGCTTTTTGGGTTACCGCATGAGATTTCACAACTCACTCATTTTTCCTCCTCCACAGGGAGTTTCAGTTGCAAAGATGAATTTTTCAGCACAGTCTCTGCAGAATTAAATAGAGTTTGAGCGGTGCTCTCCTGATGGGCAGTGGCCAGCCTGTGCTGTTCTAAGAAGCAGGCCAGGCCCTAGTCTTTCCCACAGTTTGTTGGGAACAAATAATGTGAAACAAGAGGTAAATGTGAGAACTGAATGGAGAACCGTTGGCTTGTTTGTTACCCGCTAGGAGTTAGTCCATTAGCAGTAATCATCTGCTATCGGAGGTCCTCCATACATAAATAAATACTCTTCTTAAGGCAAATGACAGCTTTTGATTCTCTGCCCTCCAGCACACTGAAGCATCCTTTCTCCGTAGCTCAGACGCTCAGCCTAATTGCTCTCTGGCTCAATCTTTCTTCTAAACTGACTCCCTGACTTACCTACTCCTCACCTTTAAGAAAGCAAGTATTGGGCATTGGAGTTTTCTAAAGATTACTGAAGATTTAACTTGTTCCTACACATTTCTCAGAGGTTTCTGGTATTATCATTATCTTCTGTTTACACATGCTTGCTGCCAAATGCCCGAGGCCAATGGCAAGCCCTGGCACTACATTTCCTGGTTGTCCTGGTTCAACCTTTTGAAATCTCATAGAATATGCCTTTCAATTACTGTGTTTCCTGGTTCAGATGTCTCGGCTGCTCATGTGAGGACATCAGTTTAGTGCTGTGTAGACAGAGCATCTCTGTGTGACAGGATGGGAGTGTTGCCTAAGCACAGGAGAAGTAAGTCTGACATCTCCAAAGCAGTGTCAGAGGTCCAGGAGGAAACATTGGTGCTATGAAATGAACTCATCTAGAACAAGTACACAAAACCAGTGCGGTCTGACTTGTTGCACAATAAATGTTCATGGAACACATAAACAACTCTAGTATTACTCCTAAGGAATCAGATCAATATATTTTACTGTCTTGTTTCTCATTTTGTTAGTTTTAGAGTATCTGTGATGACTGTTAAAATGTACACTTTCCCTGCCTGCCTGGAAATCGTTTTTGGCCTCCCAGAGGGTATGAACAGCAACACCAAGGAACTTTACATTCAGGAGGTCCTAAGTGTTGCCAGGCAATTGCTAGACCATTGTTTCCAAGGTCAGGCTGTATATAATTATCACACCAGTCCAAATGTATTCAAGGTTTTTCACGGTACCATATTTTTCTGGTTTAATGATTCGGAAGCTGGATTTTTACATTTTACTCTTAAGCAACATTTGTATTCTGGCTAAGGTTTTTTTTCTTTGTACCGGGAATTGAACTCAGGACCTTGTGCTTGCCAGGCAGGCCCTATGCCACTGAGCTATATGCCCAGCCTAAACATTTGTATTCTCTTTTGATACTTTTCTACCTGATCTTGGCCATATAGCTAAATTTTTCTATATAACTGAATATTTATTTATTATTAATGTTATTATTTGACAATGATTCACTAAATTATCTAGACTGGCATCAAATTTGTAATCCTCCTGCCTCCGCTACCTGAGTAGGTGGGATTACAGGAGCACATCACCATGCCCAACTTTTGACTATTCAGTTTTTTCAACTATAAAATAGGAATAGCAATTATACTTACTGCACTTCCCTGAAAATAAGACCTACCTGATTCTTATTTTTGGAGAAACTGGGTAGTGTTATTGAGATTAAAGGAACTAAAGCTGAAAAACACCTACTAAAATCCTTCACATAGTAAATGCTCAATAATTTGTGACTGTTACTATTAAAATACTAATCTTAAATTATCTGTTATACTGAGAGAGAAGGCAAGAAGTGGTTGAATGAATTTTCTCAATTGTGTGAAATTTGGATTTTTTTCTCTAGGGTAACTTTTTTTGTAAATCTTGTAATATCATGGGGAGAAGCTATTTTGAACGGCTGTCTCTGAATTAGGAGCTTGGGAATATCAGCAAGTGACTTTTAGATAGATTTAACTTTTTCTTTCAGGTCAGGGATTTTTAAGTGCAGACAAGAGGATGTCAAACTGAATTTTTAATTCTGGCTTAAATTTTAAAATCTTTGTCCCAGAATTTAAACATGAAGAGAAACTTAATTCTTTACTCTGGATCATATTTTCTGGATGGAGATGCATCCCAGAATCTGTTTCTTTGTTTCAGAACTAGCCATGTACATTATCTTGCTGCCCTTAAAAACAAGCACAGGTCACCTCCAAGCCACCTCTAAAAAAGGCATCTGGTGGATAATTTTGATGACTGGCTAAGATCCGGTTATTTTTGAGAAGCATGTGGTGATGTGCTTGAAGCTGTCATTATGTTGTAGGAAGAACCTTGTACACAGGACATGGCAATAATACGTTAGAAGCCTGTGCTTTAAGTAAAAAAGGAAAATCTGTTCTAAATTGCATTAATTGTTTTCAATATTTTAAAAACTTTTACCTTCTCAGATGTTTTACATCTGTCAGTTCTGTCTAACATGTGCAAATAGTTGTGTGCAAATAACCAGCTATGTGTGTTCCATCGAAAGTCATAGGGGTCCTTGACACTAATTGGTGGGAGGGAATAACTCATGGTAAATTCTTGGAAATGCTATTTGATCATTTTAAAGTTGCTTTTTAAAAAAAGAGAACATGGGCAAAAGTACCCCATAAACTTCAGTTTATGCTGAAGTTAGGAATAATTCTTACAATAAACTGAATATATACCTAGCCCTAAAAAAGCATGAAAGCAGTGGTCAAACTACTCTGACTTGGGTTAAGGGTGGGTCTGGCTTAGGTAGCTCAGTGATAGAGCGCTTGCTTAGCTTGTGTGAGGCTAGGGGTTTGGTTCCCAGCATCACAAAACGAAAGGCTAACAAACGAAAACAAAGGAAAAACCCTCACAATTTATTCTGCATGGACTTTAGGAGACTGCGTAACTGTTAGAAAGCACAGCTAGCATGACAGAAGGAGCAACTTTCATCTGGGAGGTTTTGAAGGGGCGAAAGTCTCTCTTGGGTGCTAATGAGTTTACAGTCCTTGGGCTTGCTCGAGAGTGACTTGTGTATCTTCATGTCATAGGTGGTTCAGGGAACTTTGACTAGTCACTGTCCCTTTTTCATTCTCACTGTCTTATAAGTGTGTGGTGGAGTTTTCCAGAAGTCACATGAATATGGAGATTAAAATTAAAATATCCTGCTGGATGTAGTGGTGCATGCCTGTAATCCCAGCACTCAGGAGGCTGAGGCAGGAGGATCTTTGTAAGTTCAAGACCAGCCTGGGCTACAAAGTGAGCTCAAGACCAGCCTGAACTGCATAGTGAGACTTTGTCACAAAAAGACCAAAAAAAAAAAAAATCCTTACCTCTAAGAGTTCTCGGTCTGATAAGAAGAAATAAGACAAAAAAAGAGTCTAAATGTGGAATGATATATACTATATCTAAGAACCCAACTATCTTCTATTAAACTGGACTTTAAAGAAATATGCACAAATGTAAAATGATGCCACTTTCCAATTAAATACTTTTTGTTTTACAAAAGAGTTAATTTTCGTAAAAATGTTATTTACCGTAACATGTAATAATTTATTACTCTTGCTTGCAGTGAATTAACATGTAAATCTTTTAAAACCTGAGTTGTAATTTCTCATGTGGTAGACATAAACAATCACAACTCACACACACAAATTGTCTGAGGTCCTTGTTACCTATTGCTGTGTAACAGATTACTCCACATCTTAGTGGTTGAAAACAACAAAGGTTTATAATCTCATAGGGTTGGGAATTCAGCAGCAGCTCAGCTGGAAGATCCTGGGTCTCATGAGGTTGCAGACAAGACCTTGATCGCATCTGCTGCCGTGGAATGGCTTCACTAGGGCAGCAGAGTGCTTCCAGAAGCACATCTCACTCACACGGGATTGGCAAGAGGCTTTGGTTGCTTGCCTGTGTGTCCTCATCACAAAGCAACCCATACTGAGTGATCAGGGGGAGAGAGAGAAGGAGAGAGATATAGAAAGACAGACAGACGGACAGACAGTGTCTTTTATGCTCTAGCCTTGGAAGTCACCTTCATCTTTTAGTTATCATTTTGCCACATGTTTTATTAGGAGTGGCCACATGCAAAAGAGTGGAATCTGTTTTCTTTGAAGGGGTAAGTATTAGAGAAAGTGTGGACACATCCCGAAAGCACAGCAGCTCTCTTTAAGAGTGCCTGGACTAGATCATCTCAAAGGGTCCTTTTAACCCCAGATTTCCATGGGGAGAGGAAATGAGGCCACTGTTTAGGTCAGAATACAGATCCAAGGGACTCTGTTAAAAGACTTTCCTGGAAATTTTTCTTTTTCTTTTTTTTTTTTTTTTTTGGTTTTTTCTCTGGTACCAGGAACCGAACTCACGACCTTGTGCTTGCCAGGCAGGCGCTTTGCCGCTGAGCTAAATCCTCAGCCCCTTTCTCATTAATTTAAAACAAAATTCAAATTTCCTTTAGAAAATCTGTAGACCCCTCCCTCTGTACTATCACTGTACCTATATATGGTATTGCATTATTTTGTCTTATGTCTTTATCAGACCAAGAGCTCTTGGAGGTCAGGGATATATTTTTAAATCTCCATATTCAGTGCCTAGTGCCCTGTATTGCTTATTTATCATTTGAGTCATATTTACTCTGCTCCCCCCCACCCGATTTATTCATTTACACCACAGCTTCATTAGTGTCATTCACTGCGTTAGGTACTGAGACTAGATTTTTGCTCTCATGGTATATTTTACTTATTTATTTATTTATTTATTTTGTCTTTTTGAGACAGGGTCTCACTATGCAGTTCAGGCTGGCCTTGAGCTCACTTTGTAGCACAGGCTGGTCTCGAACTCACAACGATCCTCCTGTCTCAGCCTCCCGAGTGCTGGGATTACAGGCGTGCACCACCACACCTGGCTCTCATGGTGTATTTTAATAGAGAGAAAGACAACACACAATTAAACAAGATAATTTCAGGAAGTGTCACATGTTATGCGCAGAGTGAATTATGCCTGGTAGAGTAAGGGGTGGCGGCACCTTAGGTGGAATAGTTAGCACATACTGCCTGAGGAGGGGACTCTTGACTTAGCGCTTGACCTCACTGGTGATCCTTTTTACTAAGCACTATAAAGCTACATGTGCAGCCCTAGCTGGCCCAGCCTGCTGTCCACAACCTGAACAGGCCTGGCTGCTCCAGTGTGGACGCTGCCGAGGACTGACCAGCTACTCATGTCTTGGAGTTCTGGGTGTGGTGGTCGTTGCACGGTCAGAAAATGTCAATTACAAGGTGTCATGTAAAAGCGAGAAACAGATCTGTGGTGGAGTCTGTAGGGGCAGCGTGGCCAGAGGAGGCACATCTGTCTCCTGTCTGTGGCCATATTTACAGATGGAGAGACAGGGCTGGTCATGCTGCTTGGGTGGAGACGAGAGCACAGAGGAGGCCGAGGAAGGCCCAGGGTCGCGTAGATTCCTCGCTGCATGTGGGGTTTGGAGTTTGGCCTCAAGCCTCGGCCACAGCTGAGTGCAGCAACATCGTTGCTGCCTTCACTAAGCTTCAGGCACTTACTGGAGGGAGAGGAGACGTGCACGTTTTCAAGGACCAGGGGGCACCGGCGGTGGGCGTCCTTGTGGTGCATGTGGGTACAGAAAGGCACAGAGAGATGCTGAAAGGTGTGGGGGTGGCAGGGCTGGTCCCAGTGAGATGAAGACGCCCCAGGCTTATTCTAGCTTTGCATGTTGTCTTGGTTATTTTTTTCTCATTGCCGAGACAAAATAGGCAATACCCAAAATTAAGGGAGGAAAGGTTTATTTAGCTTACAGTTTGTGGGGGTTTCAGTCTATAATCGGCTGGCTCCACAGCAGGATGGCAGGGCGCAGGGGCAACAGTTCAAAGCGGCAGAGGACAGGAAAAACAGCAAGAGCAAAGAGCAGGTAAAGCAAGCCCGTTTTCCTCCCTTATGTTGTACGCAGGTTATCTGCCCGCACTGGCTCCGCTGTCTCCTCTTCCACAAACTCAGGATGTTTACAAAGTCAGGACCCTGGCCCCCTGCTTAATCACTTAGTTAAACTTCTAAACTCCTCAAGTTGACACAATGAACAACATCCTAGAGCGATAAGGGCAGGTCCTCTGCACCCCAGGATGTAGAACTGCTGAGTTACTTAGCTAAGCATCTAGACTTCATGTTGATATATTAATGTATCAACCATTACACATGTCCATACTTGTCTGCCTTCTCTCTAGTCCCATCTCTTCAAGCCTGGAGTCCCTGTGTTCTCTCCGCATTCAAGCCTGCTCTCAGGAGATGGTGCCTTGTCCAGGAAACCTGCAGCGGTTACATAACAAAGCAGAGGTCCTCTATTCCAGCAATCCAGGTAGGGAAAGTTTTCTGAAAATTTCTTCCTGTTTCCAAATATTTAAAAAATTTTTTTTTTAATTTTTGGTACCAGGAATTAATACCTTGTACTTATTAGGCAGGGGCTGTGCCACTCTTTTCTGAGAGAAAATATAATAACCCTGGCCCATTTCCAAATTTTTAAAAAAATTAAGTCTAGCCAGGTGTGGTGGTGCATGCCTGTAATCCCAGTACTCGGGAGGCTGAGGCAGGAGGATCGTTGTGAGTTCGAGGCCAGCCTGGGCTACAAAGTAAGCTCAAGGCCAGCCTGAACCACACAGCGAGACCCTATCTCAAAAAGACAAAAAAAAAAAAAAAAAAAAAAATTAAGTCGTAATAGGCTAGAAATAAGCAATTAAGAAACCATTAAAAAGTTCCTAAATCTTCAAATGTTCATAAAACTTCCTCTGGCCACTTTCCTGAGCCGTCAACTTTCTCTCTTCTTGTCATAGCATTCAGCTTTATTCAAACCCTTGTTATATTCCATGTGAGTTTATAGCTCTGTTTTGGACACTGACTTCTCTTTATTTACTCTTGATATATTTTACTTGGGTAGTGTTGTGGTTTGGAGTTTTTGCAAGGGGAAGAATTTAATACAGGACACATATTTTATAAGATTATTTATAATAGTCACCTAAAAAATCATATACAAAGGGAGTGCAAGAAATCTGTCCACACACTAAAGACCGAAGAATCCAGCTGAGGGCCTGGATATCATGGTAATGTCCTGCATGGGTCCAGCTGAAGACCTAGAGCCCATAACAATGCCTCCCCCAAGTCCAACTGGAGGCCAAGAGCCCATGACAATGTCTCATGTGGGCCCATTTCATGGATTTGCTCTGGGAAGGCCCAAAAGTCAGTGGTGGAAACTAGAAATTCTGTGCCAGTGGGGTGAAGGATCTGTGCCAGCAGGCTGAGGGATCTGCACTGGAGCCAGGAAGCAATGCTCAAAGTAAGAACCAGAGCTCCCCTGAAAAGTACCACAGCCATCCTCAACAACAGTGAGGTCCTGAGCTCCTTTGATAATGAAGAAAGCCGAATTCCCATCAGGAAAGTCAACGTGACAAGTCTCCAGGAGACTGAGTAGTATGCTATCTTCCCTCCAGAGCCGGGAGGCGATGCTCAAAGTGAGGGCCAGAGCTCCCCCTAAGTGAACCGAAGCCATTCTCAGTGACAACAACATCCTCAACTCCTTGGATGATGAGAACAGCCGAGTTCATCAGGAAAGCCGGCCTGACAAACTTCTCCAAGAGAATCAACAGCTCCTTACAGCTTCTAACAGCACCCAACACTTTCTACCAGCTCCCCACAGCTTCTACCAGCTTCCAACAGTCTCTGAACTTCTTCCTCTCCAGTTCTGCCTCTTGTGCTGCTGGCAACAATCCTCAGGTGGGCCTCCCACACCCAGCACCACACTGGTTCAGTTCAGCTGGGTATTACAAATTGACCACCAGCTGTCAGTCTACCACAAGTAGATACTCAAAAAAGGAAAAAGGAATCTAAAACCATTCACACTAAGATACAAGGGACAGATATGTACTAGAGATATTGTTGCTTCCCCACATAATCTAAGTCCATAGCAATAGGAGGGAGGTTGAGGGAGTGATGCATATTTCTTTACAAAGCATTTCTAATAAGGGAAGTGGTCATGTCATAGTATTCAGTAAAAGAAACTGGGATTGAGAGTAGTGTGATATATAATAGTGCATAAGAACAAGGTCTAGACTAGAAGGACATGAGCCAAACAGCTAAAACCAATAATTTAACCTCTAATTAGTAGCACAGTGGGTGATTTTTGTTTTTACCTAGTTTTCTGCATTGTTTAAAGCTTTTTTAAAAATTTTATTTTATATTTTTTTTTGTCTTTTTGAGACAGGGTCTTGGTACGCAGTTCAGGCTGGCCTTGAGTTCACTTTGTAGCCCAGGCTGGTTTCAGACTTGCAACAATCCTCCTGCCTCAGCCTCCAGAGTGCTGGGATTATGCCTGACATTTAAAGTTTTTAGAATGAACATGTATACTAATTATACAAATCAGATAAGGAAATTTGGTTTCTCCTCAGAATACTTTCTCTCAGAAAAGAAGGAGTTGCTTTCCACTTGAATTCTTCCCACAGCCCTTTTCATTATGTGATAATCTCTCTCTCAATTTGTTCCTTTCTCTTTCTTTATTTCTTTCTCTCTCTCTTTTTTTCTTTCTTTCCTTTTTCTACAGAAATATTATTTGGGTAAGACACATTAGCCTGAAGTGACCTTAAGAAATCATAAGCTTATAGATAAATATGGTTGTCTGCTTTTAAAAAAGGAGCAAATAAATTTGTAATGAATTTAATTAACTTTTTCTTAGAAAAAAATCCCCCAAACTGCAAACTGCGAATGTTATTATAGATCAGGTCTCTGGACCCTCTCTAGAGGTCCTTTTATAGAGCAATACTTTAAAGGGCAGCCCTGTGATGGTCACGAATAGACTCTTCTAGGATGAGTAGGAACAAAACTGGCTGGATCTTCTGAAAGGGAATTTGTGTCTTAGGATAAAAATTCCAGTGGCAGAGGCATCATGGTTTAAAAAAGAATACAGGGGCTGGGGATTTAGCTCAGTGGCAAAGCGCCTGCCTGGCAAGTGCAAGGTTGTGAGTTCGGTTCCCGGTACCGGAGAAAAACCAAAAAAAAAGAAAAAAAAAAAGAAAGTAAAAAAGAATACAAATTAGGTGGAGGGAAGGTGATGTCTGGAAAACAGACCAATGACTAAACCGTCCAATGTCCTTGCTAGTGAAATGGGGGACACTTGCTACTAAAGAAATATATGGCAGCTTTGAATCAAACAGTTTCAAGGGATGGAAGAGGAGAAAAAAGGGCGATTTCTAAATTGAAAGATTATTTATATATCGTGATTTTAAATATGTATGTGTAATTGAATGAACAAACATTAAAATGAGATGTGTAATTATTCAGTCTGCTTCCTTGAAGGCTTATTCTCAAGCTCAAATTATGAAAAAAAATTCTTTTTTCTCTTTGTGAGGGTGTGACCTTATGTAAGGGTCATATTCTATTCCTATATACTTTTATAATAAGAGCAAAATCAAAAGCACAAACTTTCTATCCCTTCCAGGAACTCTTAATGTTTAATAGGTGTATATGCTTTTATGTAAGTAGTTAAACTTTAATGGTGAGATTCCAGGCATCAGCCATTGGACGTGGGAAGGTACGTAGCAGAGGAATCATATTATGCTGGGCTATATCCTCAGCCCTGAGTGAGGCCAGCTTCGGGCGGGAAGTTTCTACCAGGGAAAGTTTTTTGTAGGAGGAGCTTTGGACCTCTGTTTACAAGTAGGCAGTGGATTTATTTGGAAGAAAGGGATAAAAAGTCATGTGTTAGGAATCTGCTGCATTATAAACCACCCCCAAATTTAGAGTCTTAAAACAACAACCATTTATCTGTCACTATTCTTTGCCTTGGTAATTTGGCCAGAGCTCAGCTGAGTGAAGATGCCTCATCTCGAAGTTGCATCTGTCTGATGCAACTGCAGTCACTGGTGGGTCAGGCAGTCTGACAGCCTTGCTTCTGTCTTGGCTGGATGGCTGCCGTCCATCTCCGCGTGGCCTCTCTCCTCCTCACTGGCGGGCAGCAGTGCTGACAGGGAGCTCAATAGTGAAGACACAGGGAACCAAGGCCTAGGAGTCATGGGGTGTCACTTGGCCATATCCTATTGCCCAAAGCACTCACAAAGTCAGCTCATATCCAAGCAGATGTGGAGCTGGGTCCCACTTTTTGATGGGAGGAGCTGTAAAGAATTTATGGCCATGTTTATCTTACCTTACAGTATTTCCAAAGGAGAGAACAACTTCAGAAGGGAGTGGAGATAAGAAAATGTGTTTTAAAAATTGTAAGCAGTCAAGCCTGGCATGGTGATACATGTCTGTTATCCCAGCACATCGGAGGCTGAGACAGGAGTATCACTGAATGTTTGAGGCCATCCTGGGCTACATAGTGAGTTCAAGGCCAATCTGAACTACATAGTGAGAGCCTGTCTCAAAAAATAACAACAGGAAGAACAACAACCAACCAAACAAACAAAAAGAAGGCCAAAATAATTAAGCAGTCTGGTCTGATTTAAATAGAGAAGGTCTGTTGGTGAGAAGCTTGCAGTGAAACCCAGTGGGCAACTTGAAAAGCCTAAACAATATAAACTTCGACTTTGATGTAAGGGTCGGCAAACCCCAGTGCAGGTAAGCAGTCTACTGCCTCAGAGAGCTCCTTTCTATTCATTCTCGCTGCTGTTGTTGTTGTTATTGTATTTTAAAGAAAAACTTGCTTTAAAATCCTGGAAAACTCTGTTTCATTAAATTCCGTGCCCAGCAATAGACTTCACCAAAATCTTTATGGTCTTTTACAAGTCAGGAGAGCCCAGAAGCAATAGAAGACTGTGGCTCTACACCTGAGCTCTACGAGCCAGGATGATTTTAGTTCAAATCCCATCTTCACTATCTGGAAGCCCTGTCACTTTGAATGAGTCACTTAACCTCTTTGGGTGTCAGTTCCTTCCAGTATAATGTGGGACTAAAATTGTGTCTACTTTTCAGGATTGTCCTGAAGATTAGATACAATCACACTGACTAGTAGTGTAGGACTTCCCTGAGTCTTTCCAGGCGAATATTTCCCTCAGGGCTGACTGCACAATTCATAGTCTAGGCAGCACAACAAGAAATAAGGGAGACGTTTCACCACAGGTACATTCTAAAAGGTAATGTTAGTTTACACTAATCCAGGTAGAATCAACTTCACCTATACTGTGTAACTGGAACTAACTTATCCTTGGTGGCGTTCATGTTTTTTAACTTCTCTATAAATGAAAAAACCTATCAACTCAGATTAAGTGTACGAGACTGCACACTTAAGACAAACGTAAATAAAACGTTTGCTATTTGAGAAAGCATGGAACCAGATTCAGCAGAACAGCATGTGATGTTCCAGCTTCTGTTCTGTTCAGACAAGGGGCCGATAGCTGGTCAAGGATGCATCTTGGCTCAAGAGTGATAGTCACAACCATCTGCATGCTTTTTGTCCATTCGGAGAATCTGGAGAATGCACAGGAACAATCCTATTGCTAAACTTTCAAAGGCCATACTCAGAAGTACGCATTTCTTGCCCTTCGCCTCCACATCCCACTCCAATGCTCTCCTGAATTTTCCCTTGAACAATTCCTAGGAAATGGCTGAAGCAGTCATGCGGTCTTATGTGATATGCTCTAATTATAATCCCAAAGCCGGAAATGGAAAGTATTAGCATGTAACTAATTTTAAGACAAAAAAAGCAATGTTTTTTCAAATGTGAATAAAGTAGCATGTAATCGACTCTCAGCTAACTATGAACATGCCTATCCTAGCACTTTAAAAAAAGAATCCCCAAGAAAACGGAGAAATACATTTTTAATGGAGCCACCTGTGCCTCAAGGCCTCTGAGAACTTTAACAAGGATCGGTCTATGAAAATAGTTGCTATAAGCATGTATAATAAATTAAACATGAATTTTAAATTATTCACTGAGTTTTCCTAAGGGATTGAGCTGCTGTAGGGGCCATGAATAAGCAATCAGTAGCGATTTTAAAAAGAAACTGAAAAAGAGGGCGCATCTAAATTTCACTTTTGCTGAAGAATGAGTTATAAGGGTAACTTTAAGTTAGCAGTACTAATTAATGTACATGTGCAACGCAAGATGTTACTTTATATTTTAATGCAGTTTTGTTGGTCTACATTTAGTTACAGAGCTGGGAGAGAAAAATAATAGTAATAATGATAGAGATACTATATGAGTTACTTTATTTTTTTTTTTTTTTTTTTGGTTTTTCTCCGGTACCAGGAACTGAACTCACGACCTTGCGCTTGCCAGGCAGGCGCTTTTGCCGCTGAGCTAAATCCCCAGCCCCTATATGAGTTACTTTAATTAGACCTTTTATAAATTATCCCTGTTTTGAGTAGGAGGCAACCATGCATGCACAAAGGGATTAATTTGTCTTGGGGCATAGGCAGAGGATTTGAGCACTAGGGTTTATGAGGTTAAAAATTTATGTTCTTCTCACTCCACCATTGTAGCCAAATGGTTTTATTCTTGCAGGTAGATTGATGGAGAGAAGTAGCTAACTGTTCTGTTGTCAGAGTTCTTGGCCCAGATACCCGCTCTTCCTCATGCTAGCTGTGTGACCTTGGATAATTAATCTAACCTCTCTATGCTTCAGTTTCTTCTGTTACATAGTGACAGCATGAGGAGTAAGTAGGAGAGTTCAATGTGCCGTACAGTTGTTATTACTGAAAGTTAATAGACAAAAGAATGGCCCGTTGCTTTAGGTGAGAAAGAGCCCTAAAATAATGCCATATGCCCTTCCTGGGTCTGGAGACCAGCAGATTACTCACTCTGTCAGGCCTGGGTGATCTCAGCTTGTCTCACTCATGGCCAGCTGTTCAGAGTCCCTATGCATCTGACTGCATGGTGCAGCCCATCCTGCACCATCAGGTGCTGGTGTAGGGGACCCTCACTGTCTCTGGGTAGTGGCATGCCAGGTTCATGGTCATGAAGGTTTCTCTCCTTGGTCATGTGCACCCTCCTTAAGCTCGCCCCAGAAGGTATACGGCAAGAGTCTTCTCTGTGGTGGACCTTTTCTCTGCAAAGCCTGCACTTAGTACCCCAGGCTAAATAAGAGAACAACAGCTTTATCTCCTGTGGCCTTTGAAAATCCTTCCCAAAGATGGGAAGAGAGTATTATGAGCTGAATTGTCCCTCTTACCCCTCCAAATTCATATACTGAGTTCCCAATTCATATGTTGAATTCCCAGTTTTCATATATTGAACTCATAATTGAATCCCTAACCTTTAGAATGGCCTTTTGAAGAGACATTAAAGTAAAATTCAGCCTTAATCCAATGTGACTGATACCCTTATAACAAGGGGCGATTAAGACATGGATGGTGGTGGGAAGACCATGTAAGACACAGTGGGAAGGAACTACCTGCAAGCCAAGGAAAGTGACCTCACAAAATTTCAAACCTGCTGACACTTTTGATCTAGGACTTCCAGCTCCAGAACTGTGAGAAAATCAACTTTTATGTTTAAGCCACCCAGTCTGTGACACTGTGTTCTGGAAGCCCTAGATGACTAATAAAGCAGGTAGGACAGTCCTCAGGTCATCCAGAGCAGCAGATACCATGTGCAGCGCACTCCTGGAGAAACCTGAATCAGAAGAGCTCCCATCCTGCCAGGTCGTTTAAGGTTTCAGGTTTGTGGGAGGTCAGCGGAAGGATACGAGCTGCAAGGTTTGAAGGCACCGTCTGAAATTATATTTTTAGCAATTCGTTTGGGGATTTGTAGCCTTTCTTTGGCTTTCCCAGTCTCATGACAAAATCAGCATGTACTTGATCAGTGATAGATTGATATGGATTCAGGGGAAGAACTCCAGGGAAAGGGTGAGGAAAGGAGATAAGTCAAACCATTAGGTCTTCTTTCCCCAGCTTTGCCCAGGGCCGACCTCAAAGGGCCTCCATCTGTGCTCACAGGAAGATGGAGTTCTGATGTGAAGGAAGATAGCTTCTTCCCTGAATGTGAAGCTTTCTAGGCTGGAGGCTCTGGGTTAAGGTGATTGTGTCACAGCTCGATGATTGAACATTTTTTTTGACGTTTTAGCTTTTGCAACTTTCTGATCAGAAATTTCTGCTTTGCTGATAAGGGATGTGGTGCAATTGAGAAAGGAAGTGTGGGGAACACACAAAGCCAGACGTCTTGGCTGAACTTCAGGGAAACGGAAGACTTCTGCCATCCCTTTGTCCCAAGTACTTAACTCCCCTCCTTCCTTTTTCCTTACTTTTGTCTCTGGTGTCCTATAGTTTCTAACTTTTTAAATTTGGCTTGTCATTTGCTTAAACATGAGTATAAAGAAAATACTAACAGCAGGAAAATAAACTTTGAGTAAGTTGTAGAAATGCTTCTTTTTCCCGTATTGGATATCAGGTTAGATTTGCCCTCCAGTAAGGTTTCTGCCCTTGCCCTCTCCCTTCCCCCATTTTCCCCCTGGAAACCTGCTTCTCACCTAGCAGCCTGTCCTCACACTCTCAGGATGCTCGCGGTTTCTAGGATTTACTCTAGGATTTTTATGAGACTGTTGAAGACTGAAAAAACGTCTACGGGTCTAATTTCAGAACATAAGTACAAATATTGTAAGGTAGAGGGCTCTCCCAAAGTTTCCAGTAGGTTAAATCTATCACTGATGGGAGTGCTGCCTGTAAATGTAATGGTGCATGCAGAGAGGGAGAAGAATTAGGTTGTTTGCATATGGATGAAAAAAGTAGAGATAGACTCCTAGACAAATTTAAAATATTGTGCAGTGCATTACTGTAGGTGGCCTAGAAAGTCACTTACTATACGAAAGAAATTAGGTAATTATATAACATCTCATTTAAAAGCTTCTTTCTTTCTTTTTTCTTTCTTTCTTTCTTTCTTTCTTTCTTTCTTTCTTTCTTTCTTCTTTCTTCCTTCTTCCTTTTCCTTTTTCTTTTTCTTTTTTAAGTGGTAATCATTTTTTCCCTTCCAGATGTGGAGGTGGAATAACCATCTGTCACTCTATGGCTAGTGGAGAGAGATTACAGACAAGGGCATGAAAAATGCACATCCTGTCCTCAGTGTGGGCTTATGGATGAGAGAAAAATAGCTATTAACAACGTGGAAATTTATGAGGAAAACTAATACTTTGACTAAATTTCATATCATTTCTTGTGATGTTATAATTCTTTAAAAGTGGGTAGCCTTAGCACTTTCCTCCAAAAACTGAACGTATTTTGGATGGGTAATTAAACATGTGGAACAAACACAAAAACAACAGCTTTGAAGATAATCTTTTAACCATTCTATACAATTCTCTTTTTGGCCTCTGATCCAGAAGACAAAGATGAAATTTATAACTGCATTAAGGTGGTCCTACCTTTTGGCAGTCAACTTGTTGGACATGCTACTTGAACTGGACAGAAATGACAGAATTGTAGATAACACCCTTGCAAGGAGTGTATGGTCCAGTCTGTCTTGAGGTGGGTTCTGGTGAAGGAACATCCACTGCATTTCTGATTTCCTCTGTAGCATGTTTTAGACATTATCTTAAAGTAAATCAATACAAAGTACATTGCACTTTCTCTAGAGAAACAAACTTAGAAGTGAACTTTGAAACAAATTAGTCATTTATAGGGTCAGTAGAGCAAACACATAACATCTGACCCAGCAATATCAACTGTGAAATTCTGAACTGGCAGGATCTGGAAACAACAGCAGAGCTCAGCGAATGAAGAGAGTTGACTCTCCGCAAGGTGGTACCTGTTACCCTGACTGAGTCTGTTCCAGAGGGGCATTCAGACATCACTGAACATTGTGAAGAACCATGGCGCACTCCAACACCATCCTTGAGTTCTTTCGTGCTAAGTGAACTGGTGATAATCTTTGACTAGGAGAATTGAGAACACGCTGCTCCTCACCATCTCCTGCGGGTCTCTGGCTGCTCCTGCAGGAGTAGGAAGGACCATATTTGCTTTAGATTATGGGTAACTAATTATAGAGATGTTTTAGGCTACCATACGCTTTTCCTCAAGGAATAGGCTTGGAGGCAGAGAGCCAGTGGGTCTCTATAGAAAGCTTTGGATTCTTCTCCCCAGTAAGTTCTGCTTAATGCTGGATCTCTGCAACGTAATGTTGATTTGTTAGTCCAAGGCGTTATAGATTATTGTGGCTAAAGAACAAAACCTAAATCTTGATAAAAATGCAGCATAAAATATACCATTTTAATTGTGAAATGTACAGTCCTATGACACTAAGTCTGTGGCTTTTGCCTCTAAACTTGAGCCCATGTCGGTTCTCCACTACAGCTTCCTTCTCACCAGTGCAGTGACTATGTTTCCTCCATGTGAAGATGCCATCAACTGTAAATCAAACCACCATGATGCGAGCAAGATTTCATTAAAAAGCGCATTGCTGGCAAGTTTCATTGGGCGTCAGCTACAAGCTATTACTATTCTATTAAAATATGCTTGTAGAATGGAGGACATATGTAGCATCTCTGTATCCTGTGGCAATAGCAGGAGTTTAAAAAACTCTATTTCTAAGGGGACAGTTACTTTTTGTATGGTGTCCATGGTGACCATGCTGGAAACACAGACTTGGCTGAGCAGTCATGGGAATGCCACGATATTCCCTGGGCAGCCCAAGCGGCCATCTTCTGGCTGAGGGAGGCTAGGTGTTCCACTTTCTAATATCACTGTCATGGTGTCTTCATATGGCTGATTTCCTTTCCCTACGGTGTCAACAGAAACTGCAGAATAAATAGACAGAGGCATCAGAATTAAGCCATGGGTGTCAGGTTGTGTGAAATAAGTATTGATGTTTTGAAACCAGAAACCCAAGTTTTTTCTAGTAAGTGAAATCCATGTTGAACAGAAGAGCAAAGGGAATGCTGGGACCAAGGGGGCGAGAAATTCCAAGATGTCAGCTTGAGAACGGTGGCAAGAGTTAAGAATGGACGGCCACTTCTGTTGTCTGGATCGGTTACAATGAGAAAGACAATACGTAGGCTGAACCCACAAGCACATGAGGATTTTCACTTTGGTTTACATTTTGGTTTATAGAGAACTATTTCCTCCTTCTTCCTAACTGGTTCTCAGTCTGAGTGGTAGTGCAGCTATTATCAAGAAGGGAGTTCCACCCAAAATGCTATTGGTGATAGATTTGTGTGACTTATGTCTATATTATTCTACCAAGTCTCTCTTGTAACTATGAGGAAGAAATTCTAAGTCAGACAGTTAACTTTATCTATACCCTGTAGGGCAATAGAAACTAGCAAAACTCCTGAACCAATGCAAGGCCTGAGAGGGTGCCATGGGCTTGTTAACAGCTCTATGATCATGCTAGTGCCTCAGAAGTTGATTAAATGTGTCAGAGCAAACATGTGGCAAGACTAATGCCTTTAAGAACAGAATTAAGCTTGTAAAAGTCTCAAATATAAAAAGCGATTTTTTTTTTTTTGGTTTTTCTCCGGTACCGGGAACCGAACTCACGACCTTGCGCTTGCCAGGATTTTTTTTTTTTTTTTGTCTTTTTTGAGACAGGGTCTTGGTATGCAGTTGAGGCTGGCCTTGAGCTCATTTTGTAGCCCAGGCTGGTCTCCAACTCTCACTGATCCTCCTGCCTCAGCCTCCTGAGTGCTAGGATTACAGGCATGTACCACCACACCCGGTAAAAAAGGTTTTAAAAAAAGTGTATAGACATCTGAGAAGACTTTAACTGTTTATCTAGGAGAAGCCCTTGACTTTGCTTTCAACTGAAGAATGTACCAATGAAATTACACAGGGCTCTCCACATTTTGGGGAACCTAACAGTCACCAGGAAATAATTAGCAGAATATTCACTGGCAACTAATACTTCAGAAGACCTGTGAAATAAAGTCTATGTTGGAGTTTGTGGGGAATAAGAAGGTATTGTGACAATCTCAGAAAATAATTTTCTTGGAGACCAAATCCCCATAGGGATTAAAGAAACTAATAGTTCTTGGGCATCTATTATCTGTTGAGAATTTTATATACATTTCTCATTTTAACCTCATTTTATATACATTTTCCACTTTAACCTACTGAGGAGGTAGGTTTGGTTCCCATTTTACAGAGGAAGGCAACAACTAGGCTCAGAATGTTTATGTAATTGCCAGGTCTGATGCTTGAACAGTGGCAGAGCTGGGGTTTGACATTTCCCAGTGCAGTAGTGACCCACTGTGCTTCGGCCTGACACCACAATGGAGCTCTCCAGTCTCCTACTTGGTTAAACTCCTGCAGCAGCAATTTGCCTATCCAATTATATGGAATTTTTAATTTTTAGCAAAGCTATGTCATTAAGGCTTTTAGTAATTTTTTTAAAATTACTTTAAATCTGTACTGCTTGATGGAGACCACTATGAAGCAGCCCTAAGCAGGACTTAAATTAATCAATTGACTTTTCATGTTCACTTGTGAATCTGTCCAAGGCCTAGGCCTTCTTGTCTGGAAATGGGCAGCAGACGCATAGTAAGTGAACCTCTGTGAGTCCCTAATCCCTACTAAAACCTGTAATGGTGGATGAAACCAGAATACCTCAAAGGATAAATCAAGATCACAGCCAAGGACACCTAGATCTGATCTCAAGTAGATAAAGACTATAGCCTCAGGCATCTCACTCTTGGGTGGATTAATTTAATCCTTATTAAAGATTGATTTAATACCTTACTTGGAGAAGTCCTTTAATAATTCTGCCCTTCCTTAGTTCTCCTGTCTCTTCTTCTGATAACCAAATAAATGCGAGCCACCCAGAGAAGGTCTTGGTCTTAGCCCTGAGAAAATCTCTAATTCTGTGAGAGGGCTTTGGTCCTCCTGGAGTCCTGAAATCATTCCATTTACCTCCTTTATTTAGCCTTCGCTGTACCCTGAAATCATTCCATTTACCTCCTTTATTTAGCCTTCGCTGTACACTGGCTTGGGAGGTTGCAGACCTGATCATCCTGCAATAACTAAGGGATGTTGTTAACCCAATAACTGTTAACATCCCTTTAAACTCTGTCAGCTTTCCCACTGTGTTTATGTTTTGTTCTCAGTCAGACTGTAGTCAGTCCCTCTCTCCCAGGGACGTTCCAAACTACACAGACAACCTTATTGTTTATACCTCTGCCTGTATCTTTTCAATTATTTCATAAGGCTAACACTTAAAAAATTTTCAGTATAAATAACCATCAAGGTCAAAAGGAGGCAGGAAAACAAAAGTTAATTTCATTCAGAAGATTCTGTTTTCTCCTGGCTTTGGTGATTGCTTCCTGATTGAGTCACTTCCCCTGAGTGAATAACACTGGAAAGCAGATAAAGAGGCAGCAAGAATTGTCTCAATGAACAACAGGAGATGTAAACAAATTTTCTTTCAGTTCATGATAGTTCTTATTTTGCATCGGAAAGTATGTGTAGTTCAAATTACTATAATTCCCCTTCTTGTGCCAAATGTAATCCTGGAGGAGGCTATTGCTGGTATCAGGACTGGAGTTTATCCTGCATCAAAGCCAGTAGCTCATCTTTCCATCTGGGCTAGACCCATAGTTTGCAAACTTATTTCTGAGATACTCATCCATTGGTAAATTCCAGTCTTGGGCTACTGTAGGTCATATGCAAGGCTTTCCTCCAAGGTTTGCAAACCTAACATGACTCTTGTTTAAAAGTGTTCTTGCTACTGGAAGTACAACTTGTTCTCCTGACGTTTGTGTTGGCCACCTCAACCTTGTGGGTTGGTTAACTTTGGGTTTAATTTTGCAAGGCTTAAGGCTTGGCTACCTGTGGGGCTGGCCCTCCCACAGGTCCTTCCTCCCAGCTGGGACAATCTGCTGGAACATTTGGCTAAAGGTTTCCAGATATTCCTTTGAAATAGTCTTGATTATGGCTCAAGTGTTCTTGGAGGCTGTTTGTATTTGGGATCTCCCTATGTGGTCTGACATGGCTCCAGCTGTTGCTTTTTCTGACGGGGAGGCGTTTAAGTACTTGTCTTGTTTGTCACTGTGAATTGATTTAATTAAACTTTTCCTTCAAGTTTGGAGCCTGTAAATTTCCTGTTGCTGCCACCACAGATTCCATAAACTTAGTGCAAATTAGTTTTCTTACACTTCTGGAGCTAGCAGTAAAAAATGAATCTTAAGAGGCCTAATTCAGAGCTTAGGTAGGGCTCGTTCCTTCCACAGTATACAAGACGGAATCTGTTTCCTGCCTCTTCCGCATCTAGAAACATCTAGCCACATCTTGGCTCCTGGTCACATCACTCCAGTCTCTGGTTTCATGATCACACTACCTTCTCTATTAGAGTCAGATTCTCTCTGCCTCTCGCCAACTAAATTGTGTGATTACATTTAAGTACCACCCAAATAATCCAGGGCAACCTCCTCATCTCAAAATCTTTGATCACATCTACAAAATTGCTTTTGCCATATAAGAGAACATTCACAAGTCACCTTATTGGGACATGAACATCTTGTGGGACTGTAAGTCTATCACACAGTCAGATGCAACTGCATTTGAATCCTAGCTTTAACAATGTTTTACCCTTTCTAAGCTTTAGATTTCTCATCTCTACATGGTGATAATGTTTATCTCTCACTGGGTTCATGTAAGATTTTGATGAGTAAAGTCTGTAAAGTACTAATACAGTATAGGTGCTGAATTAATGTTAGTTTCTTATTTCCTGTCACATTTTAAATATTTGAAAAATTAAAGATTTCAGTTTGAATTCCAGTAAGCTTTTCAGACTTATAAATATTTCACCACAAATAAAAATACTACTTAAGTGATTATCCCATAGACAAACAAGGGTCATTATCTAGCTGAGATTCCACATGATACAATGCAATAGAAAATATATTACTAAATTTGAAGATGTAGGTATCCTAATGTGAGTGGGACCAGATGCTCTCCACCTTAAATAAGGTGCTGAGGATTATTTGGTTTGTTGAAATAAGTTGGATTGCTATATGGGAGAGAGTGAAAGAGGTAATCGTATCAAATCAATGTTTTCAAAACACTGGCATTTTTCTTTTGTTTTTGGTACAAGTATGCTGGGAAAACTGCATGGAGGTGAGATGGTCGTGTTCAAGCCCACACTTGTGGCAGGAGAATGTGGGTACGGAGCAATCCAGGCAGAGAAGACAGGAAGTGAATGAAGGGCTGCAGTGTTACATGCTTGCAGAGCTGTACATAGATTCATGTGGGAGGAGCAGACAGGCATGGAAGAAATTTAT